TTACAATCAAAACTATTAATTATGATGAGCGCACATGATGAAGTTAATTCATTACTCACTTTTTAATTGCCCACGAAACTATTGTTTATTTTCCTTTGAGCAATACTTAACTCGTATACAGGCTAAGAAATTTATTTTTCAGTACAACGAATGAAAATCCTAAATAATATATTTTAAGCCTATAGTAGATGTAATTAATAATCTCTGTAGAAGTAATTATTATTAAAAAGCAGCAAGTAGATATCCACACAAGTGGACCTTGTTGGAGCATACGTAATCCTAAAATGTAGCATCGTACTACAGATGGCGTTTACCGCGCCATTTGTAGTATTTTCTAAAACGCGCTGTTAAGACAGCAGGTAAAAGTTGGTCTGTGTTCTGTCGGAGCTGCTTGCGACGCGCTGATGAGATCCAAAAAGATCGAAATCGCGATCCGCGTCCGGCAGTTTCGACAGAATACAGACCACTTCGAATTGTTTTAATCATTATTAAATTTATCAAAAAGTCCCCGTCGGCTTGGATACAAGTCTAATGGAACACTTATTTAGAAACAAAGTTTATTTCTTTTAAACCCTGACTGATACATCTCGCGTTGATAACGCCCAATTAGGACTAGTTTCTCTTTTATTAATGAAATGGTCCGATTTTTCGTAATATTGTGTTGTAAATCATTATTATGTAAATGACAATAACAACTTATTATAATTATTGTAATAGTGATGCGAATCTATATGTTTAGAAATGGGATATAACTACTCCACCATGTTATACAGCAAGGAATTTTAAAATACATGTATTTATTTCGAAATATAACTACTTTAATATAGCATTGAAAGTGAATTATACAATTTAGAATGACTATCCAATAATTAAATAATAAAATAATAATCGTAGCCTACCTTATTAGATAATTGGGGAACGTAAAAATGACAGGGCACTATTTCAGGGCGAGTAAATGTCCTAAGCCGCCTCACCACCCTACACCTTCAATTCGACTCTCGACTTTTTAACGACTGCTATTTAAACGGTCGCTAACTGTACAATCGCGTTTCCAGAAGGACAACTGCTTGTACATTTTATTATTAAATGAAAACCAAATATTACCTATTGATTAACTATTTAGAATTACAAACCTCATACTCACCTTTACTGCTTTATGATTAGAACTCTGACGGTCTCTAAGTACTTGAGTTATTTCTACGTAATTACTACCCTATATACACATGGTTCTGTAATACATGCCTTCAATTTTAGTTATAAACTTATACCCTTTTAAAATAAATCTTCTGGTTTAATCATCAATAAAAGCACCAGATATTAATTTGAAAGATTATGTTGATTATTCCAGCTACTTAATTATACATTATGACATCTAAATTAATTATAAGAAAACACACCAGGTAATAAATTAAAACATAAGTACACAGTAAGTCCATATTTATAACTTCCCAATGCAATTGCATGCGGAATTTAAATTTTAAAATTAATTCATAATTTCAGGATTTCTCGCAATTCCCGCCTGGTAAATGTGACTGAATCATTTTATTTTGTCTGTTATAATTTTCAAAAATATGAAAGCAAAATTAAATTCATAGTTAGTAGATCATCGAAAGGATAAGACAACAATTAACTGACACTGCGAGGACTCCAATGGACTTTATTTTTAAAAATCGATGAACATTTCAACTTCGAATTAGATAAATTTTTAATCATTCAAATTACTAGAATTTTGACGAAGTTCTTCAACAATTTTATCNTATAAATAACTATTTCTTATTCTGTTCTATTATAGATTAACATCTGGCTACTTAAATTCTTCTGTGCTACTTCTTTTAACCTTAATATTTACGTTTAATTGGATACGAACTATACAAAAATTCTTTAGATTTATTGCCTACCGCCAACCTAGTTACCATTAACCCTGAACGTAGGATGGATCTTTAATACTCTTGCATTTAATGTTAACAGCTCTATTTCGTAAGTAATCGTTTAAAAATTCGGACCAAATACGTCACAAAATTGATTAAAGTGTAGTAATAAAAAATATATTATTGGCCTAGAAAATTTATAGACGTCTTAATAGTTCTTGATTTCTTTTCGAGCACCAAAATGTTAACTCTCACGGATTTCCAAAAACATTAAATGTTAATGAAACCAGGATTTGAACAAAAATTTTTAGAGTTACTATTGCTGTTCTGCTGTTGTATCTTTTTAAAGTGTAGTAATAAAAAAATATATTATTGGCCTAGAAAATTTATAGACGTCTTAATAGTTCTTGATTTCTTTTCGAGCACCAAAATTATAACACCCACCTCCGCTTACTCGATATAAGTAATAAATTCAAAACCAATATGAATTTTAATTAATTAGCGGTTAACACACTACGTGGCACATTGCCTTACTAGAAGTTAAACTGAAGTCTACGAGAGAGCATAAATTCGAACCGAATTTAAATAAGTGATTAATGAGGAAACACGTACCATGCCCTCCTACAACCGAAGAGGCTGTTTCAGTGCTAATGGATTTTTATACAGCAGTCTTTTACATTGTTATGTCACTCCGATAGTACCTCGTTTGCCTCGTCAAAAATTAAAAACATGCTAATTGAATTTTTGTACGAACGTGTTCTTAGAATAACGACTTTTTGAAATTTAATGGTTATTACTGACACTGTAGGTACATATGACAGCTGCGTAGACGCCAACGGGTTTTATTATTGAAAATCGATGAACACTTAAATCACGAAGTAACTTACTATTGACTATCAGTAAATTACATTATTATAATAAGACTGAAACCCCCCTTTAGTTTGATGTTAAACCTAAGTTAAATGAGGTAGCCACTGTTGCAAATAAATGTATTCCTGCGGTGGTGGATCGATAACGCGGCACTTTCTTAAGTCTTTGATGATAATAAAAAACTTTTTAACAAAAAAATTAAACAGCCGAAAAAACTGAAAAGCAATAAATAATAAACCTTTGTTTTATTAACCTTAATAACTAAGTTCTTCAACTATTGTAAATATGCCTTAGTAATTTTGAGTCGACGCTAAACAATTAATAAACAATGATGACTAAATTGCCTTAAATTTAAGGATATAACCATTGCATTGTTAATTTGATTAATGTCATTTGTTTCTCCCGCCGCCTTTAGTATTTCGTCTGTCCTTTTACCTAGCCTATCACGCATTTCATTACTTTTTAGCTTTTCTAAGTCAAGACGTCTCCTACCTTCCCTCTTTTTCAGAATTTTCAATTTAAGATTGGTCTTTATAACTACTAACTTATGATCGCTATCTATATCTGCTCCTGGATAACTCCTACAGTCCTTCACTTGATTTTTAAATCTTTGCCTTAAAGTACGTAATCTAACTGATATCTCCCTAAATCACCTGGCATATTCCACGTATAGCGCCTCCTAATGTGATGATTAAATAAAGTATTCACGACGGTTACGTCATGTTTATCGCAAAATTCTATCAGTCTATCTCCCCTATCACTTCTATTGCCCAATCCAAAATAACCCGCTATTGCACCCACTTTACCTTCACCACTACTACTGCTATTATTTCCTTACTATAAATCATCCCCTGTTTTCCTACCCTTTGTTTTCCAAATTTATATGGGACCAACCTAGGGGTATGCCCTTTCCAATAAAAAAAGAATTATCAAAATCGGACTATCCTGTCGAAAGTTATACGTGGTTATACATTACAATCAGTGAATGAACAACAATCAACAATCATCCTCTATTTTCCTACCATTAGGGTTGGAATTTTTTTTCAAAAGTTATATGGGACCACCTTTGGGGTATGCCCTTTCAAATAAAAAAAGAATTATCAAAATCGGACTACCCCGTAAAAAGTTATGTGTGGTTATACATTACAATCAGTGAGTAAACAACAATCAACAATCATCTCTTGTTTTTATACCCTTAGGGTAAGAATTTTTTTCCAAATTTACACTGGACCAACTTCGGGGTATACCTTTTCCCCAAAAAACAAAAAAAGAATTTTAAAAATCGGACTATTCTGTCAAATGTTATGCGTGGTTATACATTACAATCAGTGAATGAACAACAATCAACAATCTTCCCCTGTTTTCCTACCCTTAGGGTTGGAATTTTTTTTCCAAATTTATGTGGGCCATGCCATTTTCAATAAAAAAAATTATCAAAATCGGACTACTCTGTAAAAAGTTATGCGTGGTCATACATAAAAAAAAAATATACGCATCGACTTGAGAACCTCCTCCTTTTTATCGTCGGTTAAAAAGGGAAATATATAACAGAAGTATGCAATCAATAGCCCGCTTGGTATACATTTTTAACAAAATATTCCCAAAACAATACAAAATGTATGTACTTAACCACACTTAATTCGTATTTATTTACAAAAAGATGAACGTGATAAATATTTTTCGTGAGCGAATGTCATTTTTCTTTTATTATTTCAAGCGCGGTTCATATGTTGAATTGTTAAAACGTTCACCTGAGATACAATGCATTTAAAGGCACAAGAAAGGAATAGTTGGCAGGACGAGTTATAATCACTTATTAATTGGTTTTCATATGTGTATGTATGTATGTGCGTGAGTGTGTGCCGATTGGCCGTCCAGTTTTTTCGCTATCGTCTTTTGAAAGAAAACCGACTTGCGCTTTTTGCAACCGGGAGTATTTCGAAATGTTACGTTCGCAGTGTGAAGCAATTCATCAAATAAAATTACTTTTCACGTTATAGACACTCTTTGTTCAAGTTTTTGTTGAATCTTTGGGGAAGATATCGGAGAATTGTTAATACAGTCGGTAATAACTATCGATTTAAAGATTATTACTCACTTAAGCCTATAGGCTAGACCTTTTGAATTACAATCTGTGCTAAATCGTAAAACGCACATAATAAATATTCTAATTTGCAAAATGGCCACTTTTTATTACAGGTACTTGAGAAAACAAAACAAAATACCAACGAAAAATAAAAGTAAAAACAAACATGCACTCACCACACTGAAGAATTCTGCTGGAATTATGACGCTTATTTCATGAAGATTTCTACTTATTGGGCTTCACCGGAAATCCCATCATCGTAGTCCTACAGGATCTGTAACAATAAAGTTTATTAAAAATCGCGGCTTCTTTCTTGTTCGTTTAATAACAATATTCAATGAGGACCTGTTAGTCTACATGTTTATTGTATATTATGTTAGTCGACGAGAAACAGAATCCTTAAAGAGAATCACTTAATGTAACTGAATCTAACCTCACAAATATTATCTGAATATCGTGTTCTTTCTCGTTTTTAAATAGATTTTTTTTTTGAAATTTTTGAGACATCTTAATACATTAGATTAGTATTTTTAAAAAGTGGAATCTATTGTGACTAACAGCTTTCCAAATAACATCTACTAAGCACGGCACGACGTAGTGAAACGATAAAATGTACCAATACGAAGACAACAAGTTTTCTTATTACCAATACACAGATGTAAATATGTAAAGATAGTCTTGGTCTTGTAGGTTTGTCTTGTATTGGCCACCCAGAAAGACCCAAGCTCAAGACAAAGACTTTATCTACGATTGCACGGTTAAGAACAAGAGAACACTTATAGCAAGATTCTCGCAAAATATAATATAATTAAATAACTTAATGAAAATTTTATGTAAGTATAAATGAAATGAAAAAGAAATTGTGCTACCAGTAGAAATCTGACTACTTATTGGAACAGTTCTATTGTAAAATAGAAGTAAATCAGAATAGTTTAAAGAATTCCTTGAAATAAACACAAAAATTAGAAGAAACGTAAGTCGCTTGTTACATACCACCAACATATTTTTTGTTGGGTAGATATAGATCCTCTAAAAGTTCTAATTTTTGTTGAATAATTTGTCTATTATAATCATGCTTAAATATGTTATTCTGAAACTTCTTGACTTTATTGTGAGATGTTTGGGGTGCACCAAAATTAACTAACTTGATCGATTAATGCAAAAGAGAAAATTTTATGTTCATCTTTGTGACATTCTTCTTGAAAAATAATAATTAAAAAAGTCAAAATTATGCAGTGGTAAAGACAAATTTGAAATTAGAATACCATAAGTCTTACAGAAACAATAACTGATCCCGAGATAAAAATGTTCAGTCTACTCTCAGTCTCTGAAACCGAGACCCGAGTCTCCGTCTCTCATCGAGTCTCTCTGGTGTCGCTGAGAGAGACTGTCGAGAGACTGTCAAAAAAACTGTTTAGCGTCTCTGAACGAGAGAGTCGAGTCGCTCATAGAGAGATCCTCATTTCGTATCCAGTCTCGGAACGAATGACTCTAATCTCTGAACGAGAGATTTGAATCTCTCAATAAGTGGTGTCTCGATAGACATAGTTAAAATTTGGTTCAACATATTTCAGACATCCCAGTCTTTCTACGAAAGACTCGAGTCTCTCAATTTTTTCAGTTTTATTCATTCAGTCTCTCTGTGAGAGACTCGAATCTCTGAATTAACAATTTTATCGTTCTAGTCTTTCATACAGAGACTGCTAGAGATCCTAGGCAATAACTGAGAGACACTCTCAGAGACGCTGAAAGACTCTGAGAGACTGGGGAGAGACTGAAGATTTTCGTCTAGGGATCTTGCCTAAAAGGCCGAAACGTCAGTTGTAAAATATCATGTCCAATACCAAGACCAAATGTGCTAGGTCAAGACCAAGATTATATTAGTAATGTCTTGGTCCTCTGTTTTTGCTCATCATTGATGTGAACCAAACGTTTTCGTCTTTGTAAATTAAGAAATAATTCTTAATCAGCAGGGTAGACTGGAGTGGCGGAACGTCGGATATTTAATCGTTGGTCATGAAGAATCTTTTGTTAATCAGTGACACTTAAAGGAATATTAATGAAGGCGAATATCAGTATCGCGAATAACGATAATAATTAGGTAGGCTGTACGGCGTGCAAGAAGAATTATAAGCACACCCCAGTGTTTGATTTGTGGCAAGAGCTGCCCGGGCAATCGATACAAGTTTGTTTTTTCACTCATAAAATGGATCATCATCAATAACATCCATTAATATCTCGAGGCGAAATGACATCGGGCATTTATCATATCTTAATTTAGCCCACACCTTTCATTATTCATTACCGAAATTCCTAATCGAGAAATTTACATATTCCATCGCACTTTAATTTACGTGACTAATGTTTGCTTAACATAACAAAACATTTAATCTGAAAAATAAACCGAGGTGTGCTGTATCTCCGCGAGTCTCGAGCACGGCGTTGATGACCGATGAAAGAAGATTCCATTGATAAATATCCTTTAAACGCATGTAGGTATCCGGTTAATGGAACGAACTGTTTCGAACCTACTGTTGTTGTTGTTCAGCTCGTGTTCCTCTCTACGTGTATGGATTGGACGAAATCAAAAGATTCCTATCGTGCATACATTAATATGCATATTAAACAACTATTCATAAACAAAATGGCTTTTATAACTGCGTTACTCTATTTCAACACCGAACAATCAAATCATGAATTTACACAAAAATTCACAATTTATAAAATCAGTCTACATCCTAGGATGCTACAATGTGTCCAGAAAGAATAGAGGGTATTTGTATCTGTGCTGTCCTTGTAACGGAGGGGTTAGGAGGGGTCTAGTAGGGACAGGTTGTTTCACGGCTGAAGAGGACTTTAATTGGTCCTAGAACGGCCTGAGGTAGAGGGGTTTTAGTCGGTAGGTCCGAGGACTTCTTCCTCAGGAACCCGACACTACCCAGTCGTACGGACGGTTGGGTGTCTTTTGAAGATTTCCTCTCTTCCACGAAAACAAAAAAAGAAATAGGTTGGTTTACTACTTTTTGGAGATGTAATGACTATGGATGTGTACCCGGGCTTTTTGCGTACACGCCTCTTATCACAATGGTGATCCGATGATCATAGCTCAACGATTATATCGGGCAAAATTCAATATACGGAGTGCACCGAAGGACGATTCCATCAGAAAGTAGAGACGAATGTTCGAGAATACCGGTTAGAGTGCAAAAATTCACAATCCAGGTCACCCGCGCTCTGTTCGAACCCAACAAACGATTGAAGAAAAGAGAGTGTTAGTGCGTGAAAATCCGTCTCAATCAGTTCGCAAAAATAGTAGTTATAGAAGATTCTAAAGCAAGATTTACATCTTACAGTCTGCATATCAGTTAGTTCAAATACTGAATGTTACCGATTATCCTCTCCGACTGAATTTTGCAAATGAAATGCTTCAACGCTTTCCAACGTTTTAAAACATTCTGTTTAGTGACGAAAAGAACCTTCACTTAAATGGGCACGTAAAAAAAAACAAAATTATCGCTACTGGGCCAAAGAATAGCTAAGACATAAACATGAACAACCACTACATAGTCCAAAAGATTGGCGAGAGCGAGTTTTTGGTCCCACGACTGCAAGAGTTTGGTGGTTTTAATGTGGAAAGATGATTTCAACAAGGTGGAGCCACTTGCCACACCTTAAACCAATCGCTTGCGGTTGTCAATCAATTTTTCCCGGAAAAAGGTGATCTCTCATCGAGGTACCATCAACTGGCCTGATCTCACACCCCCTGATTATTTTTTATGGAGATACCTCAAGCGTATTATCGGCCACGGACCATCACTTGACTATTTACATAAAATTAATAGAGACGTGATGATTCCAAAATCAACGAATCACTACAATTTATTTGGTTTCCCCATTAATTATGGAATTTCTTCGATTAAAGAGGCATTTCAGTCCTAGTGTCTCCACCAATAAGCTGATAGCGTCATCTGAGCCTACTTTCTTATAAATCTTCCAATTTATTCGAGAAGTAACAGTAGACTAACATTTATCTTAGCCCTTATCGAAATATTATATGAAAAATTACTTCTGAGTGTCCGAATCCGCCTCCTGTTCACGCTGTCGTACGGAAACTTCTTGCGCGCGTTCGTCTTTCAGGTGTGGCCAACACATTGTCCTTCATGCTGATGCCAGTAGTCAGTTTAAGGTTTCTTAATATATAATAGCAGGTATAACTTACAGACAAATGACTGTTAAAGTGAAAGCAACTTATGCAAATATCGAATAAAGGAGCAGTCCAGACACACGGTTGATTCGCGCGGTCGACCACCTCACTCTATCCATACATCACCACAAACAATCTCGCCAACACTGTAAAAATTTACACAGGTTCGTTCACAAAGAATGAGACGGGGCAACTGCAGACTGTAAAGTCATCCTGCTTCCAGTGTCACCTATTTAATCTCGTTTATTTCTAGGGGATCTTGTTTACTGGACACTTGCGAGGTATTCTGATTGGGGGAGGGGGGATGCAACCGATTAACCAACTGTTGTACTTTAATAAAATAATAAGATAATTCGAAGTGATCTGTATTCCGTCGAAACTGCGAGACGCGGATCGCGATTTCGATCTTTTTGGATCTCATCAGCGCGTCGCAGGCAGCTCCGACAGAACACAGACCAACTTTTACCTGCTGTCTTAACAGCGCGTTTTAGAAAATACCACAAATGGCGCGGTAAACGCCATCTGTAGTACGATGCTACATTTTAGGATTACGTATGCTCCAACAAGGTCCATTTAAATATATGGATATCTACTTGCTGAAACGAATCCCGGCGTTGCTAACCTCAACGTGATAGGCACGTTACCATAATCGAATAAAATAATTCGAAGTGATCTGTATTCTGTCCTGTCTGTACCTTGTATATATATATATATTCGAATAATACAAGTTAAAAGCCAACTGAAGAAAATATTAGCATCCCGCGGCAGCCCCCTTTTGGCTTCGGGCCTGCTTGTTTCCCTCCTATAGGAGAAACTGGTAGCAATGACTTTGACCACCGTGGGTTGATTGAGCGTATCTCAATCCCGAGCCTGTGGGGCGGCAGCAATTATTATCATTATTTGGTGTGCAAGATCTAAACAAACCAATCAATCAGACCAATAAAGGGAACATGGAAATCCCTGAAATCTAGCAGTAATCGTCTACGAATATAAAATTGAATCCTTCCATAGAATTCAGGACTTATCAGTAAGAGCGTGAATAATCAATCTTTCTGGATTCATAAAGGGTA